TTATTGAAATAATTGTTTCTCTTTGAAGTATTCTGTTAATATTGACAGCAAGATAACCAATGGATCAGTTCTCCAAAGCCGGCCACACAGTCTCCTCACAACCAGCCAGACTCTGCTGCCTGTTCTCCTCTATGCCCTTCTTCCATTTTATCTTCACTCCTGCCGCTATTTCCAACAGGTGATCTCATACACATAGTATTTGTGGAATCCAGGGATTGTATTACAGACTCTATACTGTTCAGCCTCTTTAGGCCATAATTTTTAATGATTAATCCGCGACAACCAGCTGATAGATAATTTAAACTGTAAAATGTAAGAAGATTGTAAAAAAGCCTAGAAATGTAAAATTACATCATAATACTTCAGAGGGTCAAAGTTTGTTTGGTTTACAGTCACACAAAACTGACAAGCAGCACATTTTAAATTTTAGAAATCTAAAAAACATTTTTTTTAAATGATTTAACAACTGATTGGAAACCTTTTCAGAAGTAATTTTAAGAGTGAAATGTGTTCTCGAGAGAGCGGGTCCACTCCCAAGAAGAATCTATTAAAGTTATATTTGTTTCTAATTCTGAGGATAGACATAGTCTGACATAAGGAGATCTTCTTTTACACCATTCAGTCGAATAAACTGCGTGTTGTACTGTAGCATAGCAGGTGTTAGTGCAATGCACCTGAAGGAGTACCCTGAAACAGAGTAATTAACTTGGTTTGGTGTGAACCGTTCGTGTTTCTCGATTGCCTTCTGGTGCCAGAAAATAAAGAGCATCCAAAAGCATTCTGCAGGATTTGTGCTTTGCAAAAATTATGAACAGGTTAATTTAAAAAAAAAAAATCTACAAATCTCAATGTGAAGATTTATATGTAGGAGCTGTTTTCTCTTTGCTATGTCTGTCAACCAGAAGACATGTGCAGCAAGCTAACACTGCAGCTCTGCTGAGAGGTGGGTGCTGTCACAAGCATGGAAGGACCAGTGGTGAACCAGCGACAGGGTCATGACGCATGAGGGGAGTGGCCTGTACGACCCAATCCAAGAGATGAACTGGTTCTGATAAAAAGGTGTCAGAATACAAAGGACATCGCAGGTTGTTGTGTGTGGGGCTGCATAACCTCGGACCAGTCAGAGTGCCCATGCTGAACCCTGTCCACTGCCAAAAGCGTAAACAGCGGGCACGTGAGCCTCAGAATTGGACCACAGAGCAAAGGGAGAAGGTGGCCTGTTCTGATGAATCACATTTCCTTTTAAATGACACGGATAGCTGGGTGCCTTGCTTACCTGGGGAATACCTGGAACCAGACTGCACTGTAGAAAGAAGGGAGTGTGATGCTTTGGGCAGCTGAGAAACTTCGGATCCTGCCTTCCATGTGGATCACTTTGACTCGTCCCACGTATCTTAGTGTTGTTGTAGACCATGCACAGCCATTTTGCAGAGCACAACAAAAAGTTGACCTGTTTGGCCTCCAAATTCCTCAGATCTCAATCCAATCAACCATCTGTGGCATGTGCTGGACAAACAAGTCCTATTCATGGAGGTCCAACCCCTGAGCTTTCAAACTTAAAGTATTTGTTGCCAGATGGTGGTGCCAGATACCACAACACACCTTCAGTGGTCTAGTGGGGTTTAGGAGGCAAAAGGGGAACCATCATAATATTATGCATGTGGTCATAATGTTATTCCTGATCGGTGCAGACTGGAGTAATCGATATGCAAAAATAGCACCTCAGAACCAAAAGAGGGAGTTTGTGAAATGGATTATGGAGTGAAGTGTCCTTTAGTGTGTCCTCCTGCCTGTGTTTAAGTTTGCTCAAATATTCTGTATGTTAGAACAAAGTTTCA